AACCACTGTTTTCCGAGAGGTCAGAATGTAAAAATGTGTCAGATGGAGCAGAATTTGCTTAATATTCTTAAGGCAAACATCAGTATTAAGCACCTTATTATTCTTAATAATGTGCTTAATATTTTTAAGACAAACATCGAAGAAACTTGCATAAAAATATAGTGCAAGGAGCCCCATACTAACTTTGCTCTACACATGAAAAAGAATTTAAAGGACAAAAAAGAAGGAGATAAGATAATATGAGCTGGGGGTGGAGGGGCGATAGACTATCCAGAAAGTCTCTGGAAAATGGGAAGGGATTGGAGAAGGGTCGTAAGGGGCAATGTCCTCTGACCTACCACATGGTCCCGCTCTGTGAGTGGGTGGGACAAGTGCAATTTGTTCCAATCAACCTCATGCTTCCCACAGAGAAGCAGGTGTGGGAAGGAGAGAGAGGAAATGGCCTGCGTTTCATCAAGCCTGGTCTCTTCACAGGGGACACTCCAGCCCTAGTGCATAGCAACACGCCCTGCCTGGAGGCCAATAACACATATTCTGATGGTTCAATGCGGCCAATAGGAACTTGTCAGGGTCTTCTTGGCCCTGCCAAGAAGGTCCCCTATGTTCAAAATGCACAGCATCCTTGACTCAAATGTGACCCCTAGAAATTTAACTGAATTGCTGCGGGAAAATTTTGAAAATGAGACCATTCCCTGGGAGAAGAATTCTTTGATTCCAGAAATCCAGCAAATGTTAAAGTAGACTTTTCTTTAAAAAAAGATCCTTCTCTAAAAATAGATCAATTATTGTCCTCAAGAAAATCTATCCATCCTCTAAGTGCTTATCCCCGTCAGGAGGGCCTGGAGTCTGTCATAGACAGCACAGGGTAAAAAACCGGGATACACCCAGGATGGGATGACAGGCAATCAAAAGGGACACAGAGACGCAGAGATGCAGGGACCCCAATTAGCCACCAGCTAAGCTCTTTAAACTGCCGGAGGAAATTCCACGTATACCGAGGTGAGGCCATATTCAACCCCCCAACCAGGCAGGTGCAAGGAAACAGTGTTACCCCTGCATCACCAACATCCTTTAAGCGAATATGCTTCAAAATCAGTCTATTTCCTCAAATCCCAAAAGGCATTGCAGTATGACACCTCGATCCCAAGACAAGAATGAACGGGGAGCCTGGCAATGTGCATATCTCAGCCGTGAAAGTTCTGATCCTTAATTAAGCAGCTATCGCAGATAGCTGAGAAATGTTTGAATTTAGGCAGCCTGGGAAGCTTCGGTGGAGATCCCTGCTGGCTAATGGTCAGCTTTGGTTGGGGAAGCTGAAGACTAAGGTGAACACTTCCCAAAGCTTCATTCTCATGACTTATATCACCCTCCACACCTGCATGGCTGGCAAAGCCTTGAGGGAACTGAGCTCATCAGCATCACATCTGGAAGGTCAGGTGGTTCAGTGCCTCTCAGGCGTGGCGTGACAATAAAGAGGGAGTTAGCACCGTGGGGTAACTGTATATATCCCCTCAGCCCTGGTATGCCCTGGATGTTTCTGCACCACTAATGAACGTGTCACGCTAACACCAGATATCAAAGCGCAATGGATACCTGGTGCTTGAGATGTTGCCGTATGATAGACCCTGGAGCAGGAGTCTGCGCCACAAAGGGCCCCCTTTTTCGTCAGGTGGAAGGTGCTGGAATAAAGCCCTGCATTGTGAAAAGCCTAATTTGACTTTCATGTTTTGCTTTGTTTTCCTGAATGAGATTATATCTTTTACCCTACGTATCACATGTCTCGCCTGAAGTACACCGCACTGAATATGTCAGACATGCCTGATGCCGTGTACAAGTGTGTGGATATAATTACAAAATACCTCCATCCTGCTATATAGCAGATACACAAGCCTGTCGGATTTATGTCAGCAAGTATGCTTTTATGCATAAATATCGGAAATCCAAAGAAGAATGTTTTTTGTTGTTTACAGAGTGTGGCACAGAGTTGCTGTTACCCATAAGCTTTGTTTAACGGTATAAACATTACATTTCTGGTCATCTATGTAGCAATTCTTTCATCACAAGGGTCGACCATTTTAAAACTGTTAGAGCTTAACCACTGGTGTTCATCATAACAGCAAATCATGTGAAACACCTCTTAGCCCCAGCTAGCATATATACCCATAAAACTCTTTTTATTTTGCTTCTTTTCTTATTTTCCTTTTTATATAGTGGGACTGTTATTTCTTGTGTTTCTCCCCATTTATCTCACAGTCATGCATGCGGGAGACACAAGCTTTTACACTGTGAAACTGTCACTAAGTCAACACAAGGTACCTCAAAATTGCTGTGATTTAAAAAAAAATAAAACTCTAATCAATTCCCAGAGCTGGTTTTAGCTGTACTAACACAACCAACCTTCTGCATAACTAGTTGCTCAAATTATGAATCCATGTTCCTTAAATGCTCTGATAGTGACACTATTAAAATTAAGGGCCATTGTTGCTTAACTGACAGAAAATGGAAAAAAAAGACTGGCACACTTTCAGAACATTACAGACATAAGAAAATCCCAGTGCTGATTTTGGGGGGGGGGGCATCATCTCCAAATGCTTAAATTTATAACAGATTACAAAATGTTTGGGATTATAGTGATTATAAAAACGTTGAATGTGCCACTTGCTACTTTTTAGACTGAGAAATAGGATCAGTACGGAGCTCTTCTTAAAGCTACAACCCCCACCCTACCAAGATAAACTTCTCACATATCCTAAACATTATAATCATCCACTGGATTTAGTGATTTCATCATAGAATAGGCAATAATAACATGACCGCAAACACAAACGGCTAAATGTAATTAGCCAGAACTGCAGAGGCCTGAAAGAAAGCTCACGTTTCCACCTCCCCACAGCCTGCCTGATTCTGGGGGATCGTTTACGTAATTATACAGTCAGGGAAGGAATTAGGCCAGTCTGCACCCATTTATAAAGCCCAAATCTGAAAGCAAGGCTGAACGCTGGAGAGTTTATTTGAGAGCCTGAGAGGTAGCCGACGACTGAAGCAGATGGATCTCTTAGTTCTTTATGAAACCAAAATGGCCGCAATTCCAGCTCTCCTCCCACATACAGCAGGCGGACGGCTTTCAGTGGCGTAGTAGTGAAGGACCCAGAACCGAAAGCCTGCCGGAAAAGATAACGGCTGGGGCTCTGCTGCAGTACCCTTGAGAAGCCTCTGAAGCTAAAATTCAGCCATGCTGGAAGCGCTCATCCTGGTCAGGGTTACAGGGGGTCTGGAGCCTATCCCAGGCAGCAGAAGGCAGAGAGCTCCGGCAAACACCACAATCACAGAACAGAGGTGGGCTCAAACACCATAGAGACAATAGTGCTACCTACGGAGACACCAGGCTACCCTGTAGTACATATAAGCCCCAGTGTAATCTTTTTGAGTATGATATGAAGGGTAAGGATGTCACTGGCCTGATGACGGACCAGGTCACACAATGCACAGTACGAGGGGGAGAACTCTCTGGGTTGCAGTACCAGGTGACAATTGGTCACAAGTGCTAATGCTAATGGTTCATCTTATCCCTTGATATAGAAGGTTTTTTTTCGAGAGGGATAGGCATTGCACATATATTCTGAACTGAATATATGCTTAAATGTAATGGATTTTTGCCAGATAAACATAAGTCCATTTAAATACCTCACTGCTTCTGACCATTCATTCAGCGATATAGAAATATAGATTGGAAGCACAGACTATTTTTCCAGTTTAGATGTCATGAATTGTGATGGGAAAATGAAAAACGCCAGGAATGCGGGGGGCGTGTACTATTTTTAAGCACAGATTCAGTAATGGAAAGTGGTATGGGAGCCGACCTCAATCAGGCAGAGGGGCCAATTACCCAGAGTGCAACAGAATACAGATACCCAATCAAACTCTTTTCCGGGTCCTGGTGATATGGAAATGTTTTACATGAAATTACTATATTTTTTTGCTGAAGAGCTGAAAATTGATATAAAGCTGATATCTGCCTAATACTCCTTAGAATATTTTTGTTGAAAAAAATTGAAAAACAATCTCATCCTTACTTGAGAGGAACCACAGTGAAGGATGAATTTTTTTGTAAACAGTAAGACACAGCCCACTAAACAAAACCAAGATGCAAATGTGAAATGCAATACAGAAAAACAGATACAATATGATTTGTGTTTCAAATTTTAACCACGGGTATTTTGATTGGCTGCTTGATTACTGTTGCTGCACCTATAAAACTCTCTGTCCATCTGTCAAAATGCTGTCACCCCAGGGATCACTGCCCTGCCTGGCGATCTGAGGACAGAGATTAAATGCGGTGTCACCTGATACTGTATTAGCTGCTTTAATAAGTAGGCAGGTGAGGCTAATCAGGACAGATATGACAGCACTGGGCTTAACAATATAAAATTAGCCTAAGTCAATGGCTGCAGCGTCCACTCTGAAACCTCTGTGTCTCGTGGATTGCACCCCATGGGGGGAATACACTTCCACCCCACCACAAGTAGATCCTCTTCCAATTAGTTTTTCTTATATTTATTTCCCCCCTCCCTCCACCCTCCATTTGTCCCAATTCATAAATGCTAATTCCCCATTTGTCAAATGTCCCCTTCTTATTGTGTGATACGCAGCTGTGGAGGAGTGAAGACTCATCCGTTAGCGCTATCAACCCCCCCACACACACACACACAGAATCGCTCTCATGCAGCATCACCCGCCCAAAATCACTTCAGTCTAAAGTAACCACTCAGTGGAGCATATATCACCCCACAGGTCTACTGGGCATCCAGCTGACAGTAGGAGGTACCAATGCAGGGTTGTGGCAGGGGGACTCATCCCAGCATAGCAAAGACAATCCTTGATTCTTCGTAGCTTTATCACAGGTGGTGAGCATATGCCTGGGGGGTGCTGTGGGGTGACCAGGACCTGGCCTATGTTTGTGGCGGGGGCGGGGGGGTCCCCAAAGTGTCGGCCATACTCACTGAGCTCGGCAATGCTCCCCACGCGTGTGGCCAGCAGGCACTGCTCCATGGTGCGCAGCTCCGACTGGCCGAACACGTGCGCATCGCTGGCCTTGCCGCCCCGCTGCTGGTCCCGGTGCAGGTTGAGGCTGTCTGGCAGACTGAGCACCCCTGCAGAGGAACAGGACACAAATCAGCGCAGTCACTTACAGCCCGTGTCCATCAGTCAGGCAGTTTGCACAGATGCCACTAATCACCACAAAACCACGTTGTCAAGGAAAATGAAATGATGTTTTATTTGCCATTTGTACAAGCTAGAGTACAGGTACATTAGAATGATGCTTTTCACATATCCCATCATGCTCTCCTTTGAGACATGCACACACATACATACAGTTAAGAGTGAAGCTTGGGGTTAAGAGTGAAGCACATGGTCAAGCCATTTAACCGGTACCGCTGGTGTATTTTGTGGGCGATAAGGGTCTTGCTCGAGGGTCTAACTGACATGTCACTATTCTGCCGAGGCACAAATTGGCAACCTTTTGATCATAGATACAGATGCCTAACCTGCTTAGCCACACATGAATAAAATATATTACTCCTAGCAATACTCTAGCCTTTATACAAATGGAATCTCTGGTCACTGAAACTGGAACACTCATTACTCTGTTAGTCGGTTTAGTCAATGCAAGTTTTTTGTCTTAACTTTATTTAGAAAATCCTTTTGCCGAAACGATGGAAAGTTATGTTATTGACTCAGCATAAGTGAAACACTTCCGCACCTCACACTGAAAGCCTAAGATCTGAAGACACACCTCCTTTGTTGTGAAAGACAGGAAGAGAGGAGAAACAGATGAGACCCCTGAGGACGGCAAGGCGGAAGCCACCTGTTACCACTAATGAGTTCCCACCGCAGAAGGACGGCACTCCCTAACTGCGTTCCCATTTGTGGAATGAAGGGAAGGGTCAAAATCAATGGGTTCCATGCAGTTCTGATGACCCATGCCCCCTCACTCTCATTCATTCCAGAATAGGGCTATCAGTATTTGGGCTAAACATCCGCACCCCCACCCCCAGCCCATCACTGCCCTCCCACACGCCTCTTAACAGACCTCATTTAATCTGCCCGCCGGTGATATACATTCCTCGATAATCAGGAGACTGACGGCTGTGGACCCGTTTCCATTTTTACATGATGTTGTCATGTGACGCCACCGGCCCGCGAGGTGTGAGACTTGCCGTGAAGACTGGCCCCACACGCAGCCCGGGAGTGAGGCGTAAACATGCAGGCTGACTCACCACGCCTCACTTCCTTACGCGCCGGGGAGTGTAACACAGACAACCAGAAAAGAGCCACTTCGAGCTTTTAAAAGCCTACATGTATCTCGGTTTAGGCTTATAAACACATTTAAGAAAAGACACATCAGTGAAGAGCTTATTGTTCGATCGGAGTGGTGAAAGGTCATAGCAATGTCATTCAGCCAGTAACTGGCTTGATTGGTAAAACCAGGTCCTCACACCTTCTGTGCTTGGGGTGGAAATCCTCCCCGAGCTTATAAGATGATAACATGTCATATTTGCATTAGCTTAGCTAAACAGGAGATTTAAAATAGATGAAAACAGACTGGTTGGTACATTACTTCAGATACTCTTTTAGAGCAGCATAACCAGATTTTGGTAAATATCGTCAACTTTGCGGAATTTCAAGCAGCTGGTCATCTCTCAAACATGACTTTGTGAAAAATAATTCCTTTTTATGCCCTGAAGGCTGTTTATGCATAATCACAGCAAATTATGTGAGGTATTGTCAGTCCTGGGTGGGATGCACCACAGCCTCAGACCTCTAGGGCTGTAGGTTTTATTCCCGACCCCCCCCCACCACCACCACCACCACCACCACCACCCATCTCCGTGCAGGTAGGCTGCTTTTCTGAAAACATGTGGCAAGGCACACTGGCGTCTGCGGGCTGCCTGCAGCGCCCGTGATTGAGTGCGTGTGCCCAGCGATGGACTGACAGCCGCTCGGGGGTGCCCCCCCCGCTTCACGCCCCATGCTTTCTGGCCCTCTGCAGGATGAGCAGCTATGAAAAATGGCTGTGCGTAGCAGCTCTGCTGTCATAACGTTCACTGATTGCTAACGGCCTGCTCTACAGACAGTGTCGGCGCACGTGTTTTTTTCCTCATTAAACAGCATTGAAAGATGCTGCACTGTACTAAACTGCAGAAGACAGATTTAAATATTAACACCTCCTACGTGACCCTATGCTGCTTCTGACTATGACGCCATGGTAACAGCAAGTCTCTTGCTCCGACGCCGACGGCTGGCATGCCTGTCGTCCCCACCGCTCTGTCATGGGACCCCTGACACACAGGAAAGCCGCTGTGGCTCTTTCTGATCCCGCAGGAGGTCGACACCGGTAAGGGCAAAAGAAAAAAAAAAAGCAGCATGATTATTTCCTCAGAACACAAGCTACAAGAAAAATTAAGGTTCTTCTCAAGGTCACAGGTCCATCTTGGCTGATTCCTTTCAGCTTTCAGTCCTCGGTTTGAATATGAAAAGACGGGGCATAGAGTGAAATAGGCTTACACCCTTAGCACCTGGGTCATTTTGTGGTGCACTGCAGCGGATTTCTATATTCAATGCTGCCCTTTCCAAGAAAATGCCAGAAGGAAATTAAATAATTTCCTATATTTGGCTTTTTTCTTGAGGGGGGGGCAAATTATTTAAAGAGTTCATTTTTGATTTGCCTGGACAATAAAACCCATTAAGTAAATTGGATTTTGTTTTTTAAAACCATTGTAAGCCCCCTTAATCATTAGCTCTGCATTATTCATGATTGCCTAATCATGCAATGAAAAATGAACGTCAGATCCCCTTCAAGTTCTCCTTCAGCACCCTGATGTTCTGACTCCATCCTTCTAGGTATCAGATGGATGGAATTCCACTTTATAACCACAAGAAGCCCACGTTCCACATCCGTCGCATGTCAGACATGAGCATGAACACGCTTCCAGAAACACGTCTGGTCAGCCCTGAAAGGGGGGCGGGGAGGGGGTAAACCAACTGGGAACCAAAACCACCCTGCCAGAAACTTGTAGGTATAAATAATGCATGCGGCATATTGACGGTTTCTGGATCTTTAAAGTGCCACCAATGACAGTTTTGGATTGGAAAGAGATGATGAGATGTATTATACTGAATGTGGGTAGAAACTGTCTCTTGGTAGCCTTTTTTGGATGGTCACCAATAACAATCGTCCTTTCATAACCTTCTCCTGATAGCAACATTCAGGACCCGGAAGCTTCTGAAGGATTCAAGAAGGGCATAGAGTTGCTCTACAGTATTATGGTATAAGTTAAACATTTGTAACACACCATTTTCTTCCAAGAATAACAGCTTCTCTATCTTACAACTAGCTAATCACTGCTATAAATTATAGCATAGCGGGCTACTACATTGAATCTCAACTTCAAGTCAGACATAAAATTAAATTATCACCACGGAGTCAGTTCTTAGTTATGCCAATCTGAAATACTTGATTCAAAGCAGCTCATTTTATTTAAAAGCACTTTAAGTAACTTATTAATACAACATACATTACCATACTCAACAACTGAATATTAAAAACATTTGGTATTAACAGGGTTAATATCAAACAGTAACAGGGTCTATTGTAAATAATGTTTATAATGCGTATTCAGTAATCACAACATTTCTGTCTGCCTCTAGCTAAGATCGTACATCATTTTGATACACAACTCAAAGCAGCTTCCAAATTGTGAAAGATGTTATCTGGAGGAGCCTCTGAAAACAAATGAAAACTGTGAAATTAAGCTTTCAGACAGACTGCTCAATTTGCTTGGGGAGACACACGCAACTCATGATGCCTGATATGGCCACAGGGACACGCACATCTTCCCAGCACCTTCTGTGGAGCAATAATCCAGCAAAATGTTGACAAAATCAAGGTCCATCCTGCAGTCTCAATCAAGACACTTAAGAAGGTAAACACCTGCTGAAGCTGGTCATTTCACTGGGCTGCGTCCTCAATATGAAATACAAATTGGCGTTACCCCATATATCAGAACTATCTGCTCTTATTCGTGAGGACAGTACTTAGCAGAGGGCAGTATTCGTAAGGATGAGCCTTACACGAAAAGAGATGGGGCAGAGAAAGAGACAAATGAGACAGAGAACATCAGCCTCACTGGGCGGCTAAGAAGGACACGACTGAGGTGTTTTGTAAGACATGCAGGCCTATACGCTGATGGCCAAGTGGTTATTAGCTCAGAAATACCAGGTGAACATTTCAGTACAACAAAGAAAGTCTAATAGCTCATACGGTACCTACCAACATGTCATGTAACTCTGATATGCAAAGATAAAAAATGTATAAAATAACTGATTAAAACTCTATTAATAAAAAGAGGCTTTTCTAAAATATTCTGAAATATGCAGTAATGGCAAACAAAGCTCTATTTCTTCTAGTTTTCTATTAGTATTTACGTCAAGATTCACTGATGCTTTAAGTGGATTGCCGGTTTGGTCTGTTAACTTTGAAAAGATTCTGGTCTTGGCGGATAAGGGCAATTATACCTTAAAGTCATGCACTCTGGTTCAGACGGTGATGTTCTAAAGGCTACCTTGACAAGCAAGTATTTGAAAATATTGTTGATGTTTTTATGTGTCCTGTGAATTTTAATAATAATTAATAATTATAGAGCAGAATGCTTCAGGGGGGTCATACTGCTGCTTCACACCCCCAGGGTTGTGGCTTTGAACCCTCCTTGAGTCCAAAGACATTTAGTTAACTTCACTGACACCTGTAAACAGGGGCGTGGCTACAGGTGTGGAGTGGGGGGAGGGGGGACAGTGCTCATCCAGAATCACTAAATTAATAATTTTTTACTGTTGCTACCTCCTCTTCTCCCCCAGTCGACAGCACCCCCTCACTCGAGCACAGGAGCCAACCAAACATATACAAATGCCAAGCACAGGATGGTATCCTGGTAACGCTGCTACTTCTAAATTGCCAGGTGTGTTTATATGTTTTGTGACCACCCAGGGTATCCCCGCTGCCTGGCACCATTGTCACCTGAGATAGGATCCCCCCCCAGCCAATCGGGAATAGCAAGTAGAAGATGGATAGATGGATGAACTGAAAATCAAA